ATATATATATATATATATATATATCTCTCTCTCTCTCTCTATATATATATATATGTGTGTGTGTGTGTGTGTGTGTGTGTGTGTTTCATTCAATGATTGATGAAATTTAATGTTATAATCATAAATTGCAATCACATTCATCAAAATATTTGCAATCAAACACATTTAGTGTTATAATTATAAATTGCTTTTATGTTTCATTCAAACATCGTAGTCATTTTTCCCAAATTTAATGATTAAATAAATAATCACTATAATTGATGAAATTTAATCCAAGTATGTTTTTATTTATAGTAAATCATAGTAAATGATTTGATATTGATTTAATAATTAGATAAAGTAATAGGTGCAAAAATATATTTGGGAGAGACCGACTGGATCAAGACAAAGTATGAGAAACATGTATATAGTATAAGAGGGATAGTATCATTTGGAAATAGAGCTCGAATCAACTCTTCAATTCAATTTTACTATTTTTGAATAAGAATTGACAAAAATTATAATTGAACTGGAATGGAATTTGTTTTGTTGGAGGATTTGAGCTCCTAAGTCCAATTTAATTGTTGGTTTGAAATTTTGAAATCCATAGTACAAAATGGATTACAAATTCTTCTTTTTTCAGTAGGATTGGTAGTCAATTAAGCCCCCTCAAGTTGCTGCAAATCCATGTTTTGCGTTAGATTTGTGATTAAATAGATTAAATTTTTATGAATCCAACAATAATAAATCTTTTGGCTTACAAAATTAAATAATTATATATATATATATATATATATATATATAGTGTCAGACCCATTACAAATGTACTTTAATTTATTTTATGATTCAGTTTTTTTATTCGTCCATTAAGATTATAATAAGAAACATCTCTTTGGATTGTAAGTATTATTAACAAAAATTTTGTCTGCAATCATTTTATAAACAATTTAACGTTTAAAACTTAATTGAAAATATTGGTTAGTCAAATTATAATAAATTGTAAAGACTATTTTATTGTATTTTTTCCAAAATAAATTTCAAAGTTTCATTCAGCAATTTTGTGCAATAGATTATAAATTCCATCTTGCCATGCGAATGAGTTTAACTAATGTTTAAAAAATTCCAAATTACTTAGTATTCCTTTCTGAAAAAGAAAACTAAATGCTCAAATCACTCTAATCCAGAGTGCTATACATAAGGAAAAGAAGAGCAGAAAAAGGAAGGTACTTGGTATTGGCCTAATTAACAGGGGGACCATGTGGGAGAATGAGCTGAAGTTTAGTGCGCTCTGGGCTAAAGATTTGATGAATGCTTCCTGCTCTGTAGTCGTTGCCCCTTGCTTGTTGGCAACTGTTGACCACCATCATCGCCCGTGCTTATTGCAATGAATCCTTCTGCGGAGTCATGACGTAATTTAGAGTAACCCAAGAGAGTAGTGAATCGTCTTGAATATGGTGTGAGGGCAACACATCTCGAATATGGTGCAACGACGCACCACAAAAACAGTGTGATGATACACCCTGAAAATGGTGTAACAGCGTACCCCAAATATGGAGCAACAATGTACCCCTCATGATATGGTGCAACAATGCTCCCTAAAGACGGTGTAACGACATACCCCGGAAATGGTGTAACGTCACACCCCGAAAATAGTGTAACAATGCACCCCGAAAAAAGTATAAAAACACACCCCAAATACGGTGCAAGGACACAACTCACATAGGTGCAAAGACCCATCCCAAAGAGAGTACAACAACACACCATGAAGATAGTGTAACAACACACCTAACAATAACTGCTTACCACCGTCACACTCAAAATACGTTTACTTTATTCAGACTTTTAAAGTTCTCTGCTCACATCTAAATACTTCGACATATGTGACCAATTACAACCTACTTAGTCCACTACTCATGCAGCTCCCAACTTCGATCTCTACAACCATGAATATTATTACAGCTCACCACTACGACCTATGTGACCAATTACGACCTACGTGATCCACAACTCATGTAGCTCCCAACTCTGGCCTCCACGGCATACAAACAATATTACAGTTCCCACTAATATGTATGTGACTAACTATGGCCTCGTGATCCGCACTCAGATAGCTCCCAATCTCGGCTTTCATGACATACAAACATTGTTGCAACTCCTTTTAACTGCCTCTATCACCAACTATGATCTACGTGGATCACATATCATGTAGCTCCCAACTTCGATCTCTGCAGCTTGAGCTCACCTGGAACCTTGCCTAATGAGGTAAGGGATCATTTTTCCCCCTTAGCCAAGGGATAACAGACTTGGGGAGGGAATTTCTCTTATCACAAGGTGCAAGGAGGAGCTAAGGCAAATCTTTTTGGAGTGTTTGGAGATTTTTTGTGAAGATTTCTTTTATTTTCTTCTTCCTCTTCATTGTTTTGTTCTTCGACCATCGTTTCACAGAAGAAAATAAAGGAATGGAGGTGCTTTTGCTCTGAGCTTAGTTGCTCTCCTCAAAGAAGGTGAGCTTCTTCACTCTTTGGGGAAGGAGTGGAGGTTGGAGCTTAAATCATCATCATATTCTCCTTATAGAGGAGAGTTTCTTCATCCTTTGGGTTAGAAGCGGAGCATATTTTGCTATGGG